ACAATGATTTTTTTCTTGATAAAGTGAATCATTTGAGCAGAAATATGAATCAAACTATAAACTCCACATTTCTAATAAATGATTTGATTATGAAAAATAAGAAGTGTACATTTAAAATAGAAAAAGTGACAATTACAGATGTTGAATGTCTACTAGGTAAATGTAATGATAAACCACCAGGTGTGGATAATTTAGTTGGTACATTTCTTAGATATGTTGCTAATTTTGTTGCATAGCCTATCTGTCATATTATACATTTGAGTATTGAAAAATGTATTTGCCCACAGGCATGGAAAATAGCAAAAATTATTCCACTTGCAAAAGATCCAGCTGGACCATTTTCTGGTACAAATAGCCTCCCAATAAGTTTGTTACCAGCGTTAGCAAAGATAATGGAGAGAATAATTTTCAATCAAATACAAAAATACTTTGAAGGTAACAAGCTTAATACTGTGTATCAACATGCTTACAGACCTGGCCATTTGACATGCACCGCTTTAACACAAATGACAGATGACTGGAAGGGCGAACTAGATAATAGGAAGTTAGTGGGTGCAGTACTACTTGATTTTAGTTCTGCTTTTGATGTCATTGACCATTCTTTGTTGTTACACAAGCTGGAACAATATGGTTTTGATGTTGAAACGCTGAGGTGGTTAGAAAGTTACCTGACAAATCGAAGTCAAACTGTTTTTTTTAATGGAAGTCTCTTAAAGATGAAAACAGTCACTTGTGGAGTACCTCAGGGTAGTTGTTTGGGACCACTTTTATTTTCTATTTTTACAAATGACCTACCATTAGTGTTAGAAAAAGCTAAAATTGTAATGTATGCAGATGACTCAACAATATATTATGCAGCATCAACTACAAGAGAGTTGACAAATGTTATGAATAAAGATCTACTACTGATATCAGAGTGGGTCATAAATAATAAGTTGGTACTTAATGCGGGAAAAACAAAATCTTTATTAATAGGATCAAATCATCAGTTAAAAGGTGAACCAAAATTGCAACTACATTTAAACCATATTCAAATTGAACAGGTCAATGAGACAACATTGTAAATTATAAATCATAAATTATCTTGGTCTAAACAAATTGATAATGTTGTATGTAAAATGGGAAGGGGTGTGTCACTTGTAAAAATAATTGTAAAATATTTGCCAATGGATGTCAGAACACAAGTTTTGGATGCTTTGGTTCTGTCGCAGCTTGATTATTGTTTGGTTATATGGTCTAGTGCTGCTGAAAAAGATTTAAACAAACTACAAGTAGCACAAAATAAGGCAGCACGATGTGCACTGCAGTGCTCCTACAGAACCAGAGTCACTGAAATGCTGGAGACACTGAAATGGTTAACTGTCAGACAGAGGTCAACTTATATTTTGTGAAATTTTGTCAGAAATATTACAGTGACTCACTCACCACATATATTATCACAAAGGTTTATAGCGCAATATGCTCAACATAACTATCAAACACGACATACAATAGAAGGAAGGTTTGTATTACCCACATCTAAATCAAATATGGGACAGAAAACAGTCATGTACAGAGCCATGGTCAGCTGGAACTCTTTACCGATCCACATCATTCAGGAAAATTCTCAAGTACATTTCAAAAGGTTGCTAAGAAATTATTTAAGTATTATAAAGTACATTTGAACTGTGCCTGTGGCTATGTATGTATATATTATTATGTACACTTATTTGTATTGACTTTTGTTTGGCCTTGGGATGGTGATAATTGAATGACCATTTTAGTTTTCACTTCATACAGCACTGTAAATTGCATGAAATTATGAGCTGTTTTGTTTTGTTTTAATTTTGTTGTATGTATGTTTATGTATGTTTTATGTATGTTTTGTGTGTGTGAGGACCCCAGGAAGAATAGCCAATGCTCATGCTAGTGCTAATGGGGATCCTAATAAAGACAATAAGACAATATGTCTCTACACTATATCCATGTCTCAGTGCATGTGCTGGGATGCTTATGCATTCATAACGCTGGCAGAGTGAGAATAAACAATGCATATTTAATCATGCATGCAATAATCTTCAAACCCCCCCTCTGCTCGCTGGCTCACTGTGTCTCTTTATTTGTCTTTGTCTCTTCAGTATGGATGGAGGAGATGCAGACTTTCTAAAGACAGTGTCAGGGCTGGGATGTGAAGTACACAGTTTTGATCCCAGCAACTCCAATGCATCTGGTGGTCACCTTGGCAACAGTTTGGTCGGTAACCATGACGACAGAGGGGTGGTCCACCGGCACAAGATGTGGCTGGAGTGGCGGGCTCCAAAGAGGCGCAAGCAGAAGACGAGAGGCAACCGAGGAAGTGTTTCTCAAACACTGGCAGACATCATGGCTGCACTGGGACATCACACAGTAAGACACACACACACACACACACACACATAGAAACACACACACACACACTCACAGACACATGGATAAGTGGAGAAACAGTGCCGAGAACATACGTACCTTCATAATAATTTCACCCCAACATACCCAGAAAGCTCTCTTACTTCTACGTTCCCATAGCAACAGGGCTCTGCGCCATCCCTGGCTGCCATGGCAACAATTAAAGTGAGTGAATCACACGCTGGTTACTTCCTGCAGCCACAAGAGGGAACTATATACCTACAGTCTGGGTATTTGTGGATTGACATAATAAAAAAGCTCAATCTATCGATAAATTACAGTTTATTTATATAGCCCAATATTACAAATGTTACACTTGTCTCAGTGGGTTTACAATTTTTGAAGAATACAACACCCTTTGTCCTTAGATACTCACATCGGACAAAGAAATACTCACAAAGAAACCCCACAGTTAATGGGAAAAAACGGAAGAAACCTTGGGGAGGGCAGAGGAGGGATCCCTCTCCCAGGACTGACAGACATGCAATTGGTGTCATGTGTATAGATTAATAAGATACTACATTCACAACATAGACAGTCCATAGAAAAGATAATGTGTCTTTATATAAGACGAATTTGTCATGACTCCTATATATTAAAATGTAATTATGTTTGAATTTGGCTTTAAAGTATGTGTTTTTACTGATTTGTGATTACAAAGCAACAGGAATGCTTTGGAAAGCAGATAGGCTGCACAACATGAATCATGATAAGTTGTTATGATTAAAAATGCATACAGTAACATGACATTGAGTAAGGAAAAGATTTTTACAATTCTTGTGTATTCCAACACACTCACCCATTGCAATATCAATAAAAACAGATTCCCGGTATTTCACGTAGTTTGGATTGTGAAAACCTGATTATGCCGTCCTGCAGGATGATAATCACTCAGTATTCTCTTCTCTGTATTCTCTATAGGTTCACTTCCTGTATGCTGACCTGCTGAGTGCTGAGTGGAGAGTTTTCCAGAATTGGATTGAGTCAGAAACTCTGCAGAGTGTCCATCACATTGTTGCCACAGTGCACCTGCAATGGGCTGGGTTTGAGGTGGGCGGGACAAATGAGGAAGTGCTCCGCTATTGGTTCAGTGTCCTACAGGGTCTCCAAGCCTCTGGACTCCAGCTGGTCCACAGCTCTGCAGGAGAGGGAGGCAGTGTGCTCAAACAGACAGTTGAACATGTTCACAGCTCATACACACTGAGCTGGGCCAACACAAGGCGATGACACTGAATGAAGGAACACAGGTGCACACGCACACGACCGGACATTGTGGATGGCCCTCAAACAGGAAGGAGAAGGTCAATCCAAAAACTGTCGGTGTTGATGCCCTTATCTTACAAGGAACTTTTTCTATAACAGTTCTTAACATGATGTGATCTCCCTCTAGTGGCGATGGAAACATCTGGCTTTGTGTGACTCCACCCGCAGTTGAAATACTATTGTGTCTGTAGATAATGGAAACTCATTTGATCAAATATTGAGGTAGCTACACATTGTCATTTATTTATTTTCAGAAGTGCGAGGTTATCAATATCATGTTATGTTATACAGTGCACCACTTCCTATGCAATATGCAATCATTTTGATACTTGACTTGACTTTGAATGTATATTCAGCAGATAATGTAGATTCAGCTTTATTTAATGTATTTCTGTACATCTTTGTATGAGTTAAATGCTTTTTATGTGCAATAATTGTTTACATTGAAGATTGTATTGAGACAAGGTGTCTGTAAAATATACAAAGAAGAAAAGAAAGTTGTATAAATGTGCATTGATACAATAATAAAATATGAAATAAAGCCAGCAGTCCTTAATTTGTCTGTCCTTAGGGAATCCTTATCATCAAAATATATGCAAGTATACTAATATAATTATGATCTATGTGACATGTAAGCTGATTTTAGGTGCAGGTGTGTGTTTATTTCCATTGAATTTTAAGAGTATTAATTTAGTTACTAAGTTTGCATTTTCCTTTAAACACTTACGATGTAATAAAATAAATACGAAGTGACTGAAATAATTGCCTAATTCCAAAACAAATACGTCCAATATTTAGGCACCATGCCACAAGACAAGGCTATAATTACTTATTGCAGCATTTAAACAAATTGTGTCAATATCATTTACAACACATTCCCATACTTAGATAAATGATTTAACCTTTTACTGGAGGCTTGATGGCTTCAAATCCCATAAACCGTGTGTACTTCCAGTTTAAGCTGTGGTGAAGGATGCACTTAACACCGAACAAGAAAGGCTCACGGGACATTATTATTTGTCCTCATAAGTGGTTTTCTCCACAATGAGCTCTTATGCATAATGGCCAATGCCAGTCATTCTTCGGACGCGTTCCAGCTCGCTGAAGCGCACGTAGGAATGTGTCTCTTCCCCACCCTTGGTTACGCAAATTACGGACAGATGTTGGCCACTAATCAGGGTGGAGTTGCGCTTTTTGCGTTGACATTTCCACATCCTGTTCTCAGCGAAAACAAATGACAGGCGCAGTAGCCAATCAGCTTTGAGGATCTCAGTCCCTCGTCCAATCAGAAGTTCTGAATCCCGGGACTTGAGGAATCTGTTTAGCTCGCCCATGTACTGTACCGCTTAACATTTTCTTGTGGAAATCTTGAGACCGGATAACAACCATTGTATAGAGAGAGTCTACAGTTGCCAATTTTGACGGTAAGTAAAGTATATTAAGTCGGTATTCTTCCCGTAAAGTGAGGGGGTTTGAACATACCTTTGTGTGGCTGTTTCTTCGAGATAAGGAGCGCCTACAAGTTACTTCCTGCTCTGACAAGGCCGAGATCCCAAATTTTAGCCCATTTTAGCTAATGTTGTGGGCGTAAAAGTGAACCGTTTATGCCTGAATGGTTCTCTAGTAGCGGCTTTTCACAATAATGTGCATTGTTTTCATACAAGGTATTACATATATTTAAACATTTTACATTTATCATTTCGATTTGTGAATTTGACAGAGAATGACTGTACGTTACTGACACATTGACCGCACAGCGCGGAGCTGTATGTGTGGTACAGCTGTAACCAGTTCCACTTTATCATTAATAACTAGATTAACCTGACCTTAAACTAAAGCATTCTCGGGTTGAAAACACGCATGACAAAAGGGCTGTCAACCCAAAGCAAAGTACAGATTTGAATACACCTAGTATTGCCATTTGCAGAGGTGGGAAGTAACTACATTAACTCAAGGTCTCTACTTAAGTCCAATTTTGAGGTACCATTTTATGCTACTTACTATACTGTACTCCGAGGTAAATAATGTCATTTTACTCCACTATGTTTATTTAACAGCTTTAGCACATTTTTAACAAATTGAATGTTTACAATTTAAGCTAGTGGACTAGGTTACTAAGTCACAAAAGAGTCAAATCATTTAAATATTTTACAAAAAGTCAATAAGTACTTTGTTTGTCTACAACAGTAAAATGCTACTTGATGCAACAATACTATCAAGAAATGTCACATATATTAATATAATTATATACACACATAAAGGCCATTTTCCTGCACAATGATTACTTTGACTTTTTTATCATTTAAATAGATTTTGCTGATAATAATTGTGTACTTTTACTTAAGTAAGATTTTGAAAGCAGGACCTTTACTTATTTTGAGAATAAGGTAATGATGTGGTGCTTTTACTCAAGTAAAGCATCTAAATACTTCTTCCATCACTGGCCATTTGTATCATGACCTCACTATTCTCTGTAGCCCCAGCATTAACATTAAATACTTGTAATTAGGGGAATAGGAAGCATTGCAGGGTATACTTACAGTAAGCTCAATTCTGCCTGCAGTCTGCAGTCTGCATATTTCTGAGCACCTATGGGAGTTGTCATTTTCTGAACAGATACCATGTAGCACTGTAGAGTTACTGCTTTGTGTGGGGAGTTTACTTTGTCACACACTGACTGCGATTTGTACGATATAATTATGAATATCGACACTGCTATAAGCCTAATGGTGTAGAAATCATACTGATATTACCATCGGCAACAATTGTATTTCTTTGTATGTTGACTTTTCTGGGTGGTGACACAAAAACTGGGTGTCAGCTGGATGTTTTCCGGGAGTAAGAGCGTGGCTTTTAGTTTTGCTTCTGCTTTAACTCTGTCTGGCTTGGGGTTTATTTATACATACGTGTCTTGGTCACGAGTGACTCATTTTGGGATAGAAATAACAATTATTTTCGCTATGAAGCCATCTATTTATTATCGTAAATCATGTTTTATTGAACCAACAAAAATTTAAAAAGCAGCGAATCGTTACATTTGAGATGCTGGGAACTGTCATGTTTGACACTTAATGGAAGGTGAATTGCTTGAAAATATGAATCCGATGAGCTCTAAAATATTTTAGATAAAGAGTTGGTATCGAAACTGCCTGTTATAGACGATGATATGTATTCGTGCTGTCTTTAAGTCACTTTTGTGTTGTATGTCTTTCCTTCAAATGACCCACCTCCTCTTACCCACCAGGGTTGGGCCCCACTTCCCACAAAACCCCACCATGCCTCTGGTAACGAGGAATATCGAGCCGCGGCATGTGTGCCGCCAGACCATCCCTGTCAACATCCGCAGTGAGCTGGAATGTGTCACCAATATCAGCTTGGCCAACATCATCCGCCAGCTGGGCAGCCTCAGTGAGTGTCTGCTGTGTGGGGTCGGGCATCATTATGTCATTAAAATATGATAATTTCCACATGTTGCAAATGTGTATGACATGTGTTTATTTGCACGTGTTTTATTTGAATGTAGTTCTGAATATGCATTGATTGTGCACGCGTAAAACCAATACTTCAAATGAAAAATTATTCATATATCAATTACTCACTACTTGTTAGCTTGAATTATGGGAACACATTTTTTTTCTTGCAGGCCTCCACGGTTAGAAAAATGTAAAAAAAATCTTGAATGACTTAAAGTAAATAGGGAGTGTGTGTAAATACAGCAAAACATTATCAAATAATCTGTTTACACACTCTCACTGCTTTTGAAGTATTATCCAACACTAACTAATGCAGTCATATTTACACTGGATCCCAAACACATGCATTTTGGTTTAAACCTTATTATTCAAAACTCTTCTTCATTGTCTGCCTCAGGCTTACGCAGCCGTGCTACTAGTTTGTGCGTAGACTGTTTCTGCAGAAGCATATGAGATAAAAAAAAGTGTTACTAATTCAAGGTTACATCGGCTAAGTATTTGATATACAAGGGATATTTTTCAAGGTGAAGTATTCCTTTAATGAATGAAAATAATGACGCTGTTTCTGTGTGTAGGTAAATATGCAGAGGATGTGTTCGGGGAGCTGTTTGTCCAGGCTGGAGCATTCGCAATCAGAGTCAATACACTGGGAGATCGAGTGGACCAACTGCAGGTTAAAGTCACCCAGCTGGACCCCAAAGAAGAGGAGGGTAAGGTCTCCCTCATGTTAATGCTACTTGTGTTACTGTTACTACTTCCTGTATATTACTGTCAGAGAAGTTCTTTATTTTGAATATGGTTAAATGAACATTAACATTTTCAGTTTATTTTTAAAACCAGTTTTACACGTCTCACGACTTTCCTATTAAAATACAATCTTACCCTTGAGCAAAATGAATATAATTAACTCTCTATTTCCTCGTCTGTTTCTCTCTCAGTGTCTCTGCAGGCCATCACTACCCGTAAGGCCTTCCGCAGCAGTCTGACCCAGGACCAGCAGCTGTTCACCAGGCCGTCCCTGCCGATGCCAGTCCAGGACACCTACGAGACCTGTAATCCACCGCCACCTCTCAACTACCTCAGCCAATACCGGTGAGGCTCAGCAGACTCACAGACTCCCCTCCATGGCTCATATTCACTCACTGAAGCATGCATGGATCATGAAGAACACGTGCATGCACATGTGCACACATTGAAACACATTTGCATGCTACATGTTGGTCATGACTATACATTATGTATTCTCGCCTCTCTAATGCATATGCATCAAGGAGCGGGAGGATTAGAACGTTTTTTTTTTATGCTTGAGATTTTAATTCTCTTGGCTATAATTTATGAGTGTGTTAGAATGTTAAAGGGGATTTGTTTTTACCCAGGCCTTATGGAAAGGAACATATAATAAGTGCTATGCCAGTTCGTGTAACATGCAACAATCAAACATAATGAAACCAACCTAAACTCAGATAACGTTGATAGCAAAAGGACTATATATGTTACATTACATATAAATATCCCTGCTTGTAAGTATAATAAGTATACAGAATTAAAGTAGCACTAATTAAGTTCTGTTGGGAGAACAAGAATGTTTTTTATATTGAGATGTTTTATTAGCTTTGCACCTCTCATGTGTATATACTTTCTCTTACAAATAACCATATGTCGGAACCCAGCTGATTAATATTCTTGATATCTTGAATGTTAATTGTGCATGAGGAAGTACGATTAATTAGAAACCAGAAAATAAGGGGCTTTGGGTGTTAGAGGGTGAAGACTGTTTAATCAGTTAGCACAGCAGTGGCATCAATAATAAGTAGCGTGAGTGTAAGCTCTTCCAATAATGTAGCAAAGACTTGTTCTGTGAAGTTTTTCGAACATAAATTGTATTATTTTATTCTCTACATAATAGGGACATTTAATTTTCTGCATACTCATTGGTATGTGCGAAAAGAAAATGACCTTTTTATTTTTGAGCTAAAAAGAGGAAGTGTTACGGTTTATAAATATATCGACCCATAAAGATAAATATCTTTCAGCGGACACTTGTGTTGTTTTATGTGTGTGGACGCAAGATAACATTAAGTGGAACTAAGACCTAAGTTTAGTTCTAATGTTTTGTAAATGGTTATCCACAGGGACGATGGGAAGGATGCCCTGAAGTTTTACACTGACCCCTCCTACTTCTTTGAACTGTGGAAGGAGAAGATGCTGCAGGACACCAAGGACATCATGAAGGAGAGACGCAAGCACAGAGTGAGACACAGTAACATCCTCATAAACACAACACCAGTAACACCACCGACACAGAGTGCTGCAGGGATGATGTGTTTTTGTCGACCAACTCGGAAGTTGGAATCCTTCTTGATCCCTCCACACATTAAAATGTTCACATTTAACACCACTTTCAAAGATTTCTGAAACGTTACTGCAATCACCAACAGTAAAGAGTGGGTTGTTCAGGCTATAAACGACGCCACAGTCACATGACTTCAGCGTGCCCTCCTTGTTCAGTGTGATGTCAACCTCTGTGGTCTCATTTAGCCTTATTTTAGAGACTTTAAAGCTTCACAAGTCTTGAGTGGGCATACCTACTGACATGTTATATGTCTTCAAACAAAACAAAAACATCTCGCAAGCATGTGTTAATCAGAGATCTAATTTCAGGCATGTAGCAAAATTACAACAATATAGACTTTAAAGGCACGGACACACCAGGCCGATTATCGGCGTCGGTGGGCGTCAGGCCAACGATGAGCGTCGACACGCCCTACTCAGATTGGTGTGTCCCGCACCGTCGGGTTTTTTCAGCCGGGCCGACGCCTTTTCGGCCGAAAATGTTGAATCGGCGGGCAGTCGGCAAAAGAAATCACTCTGATTGGCTGTTCAGCTAGCGAATCAGTGCATGAGAAGCGAAACGGAAGTGAGGGACCCAAACAAACTATTAAGAAGGCAAATCTGAGATTTCATTTAACTCCAGCTCTCGACACAGGTTCGGGAAAGCCCCATGAGCTTCTCGCTGTAGAGTGAAAATGGAACGCACACGCTATTTGTTGTTTGTTTATATCACGCAGTCTGTTCTTCTTCTCTCGGTTATCACGCAGTCTGTCTTCCGGTTGTTGCCTCTTTTGAATGACGAATACACACTACCGCCGCCTGCTGGTAAGGAGAGTTATTGCCACTCACGCATGCGCAGTTCGTACGTGCTTCTTGGCCGTCGGCTGAAGTCTTTGCGGTGTGTTCCAGTGCGACACATGGCCAAGACGCAGAGACGCAAGGCGACGCAACAGTCGGGGTCCGTCTGTGTCAGTTCTTTGTTGTCAGATTGGTGTGTCCGGGCCTTTAGACAAGGTTACAAGAAGTGCAACATCCTTACATAACTTATTCCTGAAGCACTCTTTGGGGTTGGAACAGGTGGACATTATTGGTCACATCGAATGAAAGTTGATGAATCTAACCCATCCTTTTCTTTCCGAGCAGAAGGAGAAGAAAGACCACCTGAACCAACGGACGCTCAATCCGCGAAAGATCAAGACCAGGAAAGACGAATGGGAGCGCCGTAAGATGGGGGAGGAGTTTGTGGAGCCGAAGAATGATTTGATGTAAGTTTAGAGATTGTGTGAAGTGAGCTGACACCCCCTCTCTTTGTGGATATTTGTTATCCCTGGGTGCACGTAGCTTTTGAAAGCATTTAAGCAGGAAGTAAAACAATTACTTGATGAATTCAGTATTTCTTTGTCTAATCAACACAGTAAAAGTACAGAATGGGCACTAACTAAATTCAACAAGCCCCCCATCTTATCAACAGATCTCCACACAGTGATAAGGCTGGCATGTCCTGTCTGGAAATGTTCTCAGGGGGTCGGGTCTCAATGGCAAATCACAGTAAACAAACGCATGAGTCACAGCGGGCCATAGGGCAGGGTTTTTTCTGCCGTGTGTTATTAATTCTTTAGTCAGTGTATTGCTTTTATAGAAATATAAGAAAAAGGAAATAACATGGACACAATTAAAGCAATAGTGCAATACATTTATTCATTATTTTCTAGTCTTCTGTTCTAGCACTATTTTTTTTATTTTAGCCGGTTAATCTTGTCTGAGTTAGTTAGTAAGCTTAACCTTGATCTTTTAGTCTCTCGACCTTAAAGCGAAGCCTGATAAGGAAAAAACTCAAAGATTTTCTGTCAAGCTCTTTAACTGAAGGACAAGCTAGCCTCCTCCTGCTGATACTGTACTTTATGCTACTTCAAAGCTGTGTAAGTCACACCACAAGTGTCAATGTCAGTATTCCTGTCTACTGCTTTTAATGCATTTGTATCATAGTCGCAGAAAAATATGCAAAAAGCCCAATTTGCTCCGTACATGCTACTATTTATGATTGAGTTGAACAGAAAACAATTTCGGACTGATAATGATGTCTTCAATTTGTTTTAAGGAATTCCTCTGAGGGTCTGAATGGCAGTATTGGATCTGGAGATGGCTTCAACTCTGAGAGCTTGGAGCAGAGCACCGGATCCTACGCCTGTGACCCCGACGCCCCTCTCTCTCCACCTGGCACCGATGACTTCCTCCCACCTCCACCTGCAGACATGGCGTAAGTAGCACGTTGCACAATTAGCCTGCACGCGCTCCCGCTCCTGCCAACATGTGCTGAACATACATGTGCAGCTGCAATCAGCTTTCAAATTATAAACCTACTGTTTCTTTACCTCCAGCTGAGAATGCAGCCGCAGAGAAACTTAAGCTCTGTAAAAACTTGACTTTCATTAAGTGTATTATGTCAACAGATTCGTATTAGGTTAGTTGAAAGCAATAATATGAAGTTTAACCTAATATTAAATAATATGTATTTAATATTATTGCTTTCAACTAACAGTAATGTGAAACCTGTTGACATAAAATATTTCATTAAAGTCAACGTTTCAGTTTTTATTTTTTATTTGAACTTTTCCTTTTTCCAACTCCCACTCCTTGCAGGTATAATGACGGAGGCTACGGAGCACCGAGCCAGAATCGTGTCAGCGTGCTGAGTCCAAGCCACCCACCTCCTGCCCCCCCCCATGACCTCTCCACCTCCAAACTCTCGCCCCAACCTCTCCCCTCCCCCTGCACCCCCTCCCCCTCCTCCACCCTCTGGCTTCGGGGCTCCCCCACCTCCCCCTGGTTTTGAGGCCCCACCTTCTCCTCCTCCGCTCTCCTCCTCTGCCTATCCCTCCCCACCTGCTCCCCCTCCTCCACCCTTTATGTCCATTGGTGCTCCTCCTCCTCCTCCACCACCTATGCCTGTAGGTGTTGGAGGTCCTCCACCTCCTCCTCCTCCTCCACCTCCCCCTGGGCCTCCTCCCTCATCCTTTGACCGCTCTGCAGCTTCCCATCCTCCCTCTGCTGGTGGGGGTCAGTCCAGCTCGGCTCCCAAAGCTGAGCCGGAGGATGATACTCGCAACGACCTGCTGCAGGCCATCCGGCAGGGTAAGACTGAGTTTCCTTTGGGAAGTTGTACTTGTTGTTGTTATTTAGCCTTTATTTATACAGGTGAATCTCATTGAGACACAAGGTCTCATTCTCAAGAGAGACCTGTTCAGTGTACACCACCACACAAAGTTACAGACAGGACACTAAACACAGAGGCAACAATCAAATCAAACATCGTAAAAAGTAGTCAGATATTGCAGGTGCAAACACCCACAGAAGATTTCTCCCGCTTTTTTCAAATGAGTTTAGAATCTGTGATGGGTATCAAACTGGTCAGCTTAAAGGGGACCTATCATGCAAAATGCACTTTTGTACGTCTTTTATACATGAATATGTGTCCCCGGTGTTCCAGGGAACTCACCAAGTGTCAGAAAACACAACCCTCTCTATTTTCCTCCATACCCAAATCTCTAAAAAAGGGGCTGCAACGGATCTGATAAAAACTGATCCAGATTTGAACACTGTCCTGACGTCAGGACGGTGGCGCTACGGCTATTGGGCCAACTCCACCAATCAGGAGGAGACAGCCACGGCCATTGCCGTTCGAAAGCGCTGGAGACGCTGTAGTACATATGCCAGGCCAGTAGGTGGTGCTGTTCTCACTGAATCTGCCCTTGCAAAAACAGAGCTAAAAAATGTAAAATTAAGCAAAATGAGGCATGGCTGAAATGCATGATCTGTTTGGTATTTTGAAAAACAAAAAGTATAAATATGCCTTATATAGGTATGGTCCTATACTATATTATTCAAATATAGCATGATAGGTCCACTTTAAGTTCCTGCTGAAGTGTGTTCCAGGTCAGAGGGGGCAGAGTATGATATGGCTTTTTTCCCAAGCACCGTGCGTACTGAGGGGACGGACAGAGTGATGTCATTTTGAGATCGTAGGCTATAGCTGTACTGTTTGTGTGATATCTAAGTGGATATGTAGAGGGGCAGCAGTCCAAGCATAGCGGTATAGATGAGTTTGTACCAGTGCAGTGACCTGCGCATTGATAGTGATGTCCAGTTGACTAAAGAGTACAGCGTGCAATGGTGTGTGAGGGGTTTACAGTTGGTTATGAACCTCAGAGCCCCATGGTAGACAGCGTCCAGCAGATGAAGGGAGTGAGCTGAGGCGTTCATGTACACAACATCCCCGTAGTCCAAGAGCGGCAACAATGTGGCAGCTACAAGCCGTTTCCTCGCACTTGTGGAGAAGCAGGCCTTGTTTCTAAAAACGAATCCCAGTTTTACTTTCAGTTTCCTGAAGAGATTGTCAATATGAGGTTTAAAGCAGAGGTTTCCAGGTGTTAACAGCTTCAATGGGGTTATGCTGTGCAGACATGATGCAGGGAAGAACAGCTGGTAACTTTTTCATATTTGAAAACAACATGACTTTTGTCTTGTCTGAATTTAACACCAACCTGAGGTGGAACAGATGTGACTGAAAAGTGTCAAAAGCAGACGTTCAAATGCAAGGGCAACAGTATAGAACAGTATCATCTGCATATAGATGTACAGAGGCATCAATATTTTTGACCCACATCATTTATATAAATTGTAAAAAGGGTCGGTCCTTAAGAAGTTTAGGTTCTGCCGGCTGTGGAGCTTGGGATGGATACATTTATTCACGTATAGCAATAACGCGTATTCATGGGATGCACGCGTGTCCTCGTTTCCATTGTCTCTGCAAGCCTACTATTCCCTATTTCCTTTACTCCTTACAGCGCATTTAAGGAATTGTGAAATGGCTTGCCTCAATCGATTGATTTCTAGGTCAAGTGATTGAGGATAGGGAATTTGGGGGCTGCGATTTTATAATTTAAAAACACAACATCTTACATCCTCAGACTGATTCCCTTGACCTTGATGGAAAACATAATTAGGTCGAGAGCATTTCTGAAGGTAAAATCATAAGGACTTGGGAAAAGACTAAGAAGAAAAACCTCCAAACTACACAATAGCAAACGCTAAAGATTTGTTTTAAGCGACTGTCTTTGTTACATATAGAAGTACAGTTGCTAGATCGATGCTGTTCAATCAAGTGAGGATTCCTGTCCATAATAGATCACGCCCTCAAAAAAGGCTGTTTCCAATCTATCCATAGGGCTTCATTCAACTGTGCCATGGCATTATCTCCTTTGCTTTGGACAAAGATGGTTTAGTGTGTTCTATGGTAAATATGATAGGAAACGAAGGCTTGAAGCACCTTTGCTTTTCATTTAGAGAATTCAACCAGCTCATATCATAGGGATATTGGGATGAACCCCTCGATTACTGCTTTTCTTTCTTGACTTTGCAGCCAGCTCTGAATAAGTGGAATATTGCTGCATGTTTGGACGTGCATGATGTACTAACAGAGACCCAATTGTAAAAACTCTAAAGCGCTTCTAGTGAAATAAAACTCAACAAACCTTAAATCAGGGGTGTCAAACTCAAGGCCCGGGGGCCAAATCCGGCCCGCGACTTCATTTTATGTGGCCCGCAAGAGCTTGCAAAGAATATAATATACAATACCATTGTATCGTCATATGTACATAGCTACAGTGTAGTTATGACAATGACATTCTTAGGTCACAGGCTCCTCCAACAGTGCAACACAATAAAACAGATACAATTGTGCAAGTAAATAAAATAAAATATAATATAATAGAAATAGTGCAGAATAGTCTATATACAAGTAATTGGAATATTGATATATATAAGTTGCAAACAGATTAATGTGATGGATGTTCTTTCAAAAGTTTTGATGTAATTGTTGAATATTTGCTTTCAATTATGTGCCCTAGACTTCTGCTTTCAGACGTAGTTATTTATGAAGTTATTACCAGGACTGATAATAATCCAATGCAGAGCCAATAATATAATAAAATACATTATATAATATATATTATATATTTATATATGTATATTTATATAGTCTTAAAGTTGCAACCGGCCCTTTGAGTGCAACCATAATGCTAATGTGGCCCGCGATGAAATTGAGTTTGACACCCCTGCCTTAAATACATTTAAAATTATAATTGTCTCTTTTTTTTTGGTTCTACTTTGATCTAAATATAAGGGAACTACTTACAACTGTCACCTCTTGAGTATGAAAGACACCTTTTGTTTAATATGTCAGCAAGCAAATGAGTCCTCATAGTAGCATTCATTAAGATAAAAATAGGAACATGAAGAGAGATGGCCCTTCTGCTGTTGTCAGGCTCTCACTCTCTCTGTCCTCACTTGCTCCCTCTTTAGGTTTCAACCTGCGTAAGACGGAGGCGCAGCGTGAGCAGGAGAAGAGGGATCACTCTAACAACGATGTGGCCGCCATCCTGTCCCGTCGTATCGCTGTCGAGTGCAGTGACAGCGAGGATGACTCCTCAGAGTTTGACGATGACAATTGGTCAGACTGATCATCCTCTCTTTTCCTCCTTCACTAGCCACTTCACTCTCCTCAGCCTTGAAACAACCTCCTTGTATTTACGTTGTCATTACATTCAGTGAAGCAGAGGTCCATGTTCTGTGTCGGTCAGATTTTCAGTATGTACAAGTGACCTATTACAAATCACATTCCTTAATCATGTATTTCTATTTATCCCCAATTATTCCTATCAGAGGTGCAAAAGTCCAAAGATTGAGAAATGTGTGTGTGCCTGGTTTTGTCTTTCGTCACTGCTTTCTGTCACACGGCGCTGTTGTTAATGTGAGAGTTGTGACGAGGCTCACGACTCTCTGCCGAGTCCGTGCGTAAACACATCACCTCCGTCTTCTCTTATTATGAGCCCTCTGCTTCGGGCAAAATGTCAGATTTGATCCGCTTTACAGCAAAGGATAACGGAGGTAGTACACACACCTCGCGCAGCCTCTTCCACACACAGTATTTCTATGTACTCTGTTAAAAGACAAAACATATTTGCCCAATCGTCTATCATATAATATAGATGTAAAGTTTATATTACATATTGAATCATATGAGCTAACGATAATTGATGCAATCCTTTTATATCCCCATTTTTGTATCACTTTTCCTTTCCTCACTTTTTGTATTCAGACAACAATTCGCGTGCAAATGAGACATTGTTCAAGGTTATCAACAGATTCATAGATTAATTATTCAGTGTGATGGGGGGGGGGGGGAGCAGTGGCTCAGGGCCGACACCTGGGGTCTGTGATGATGATCACGCTGAACATATGTAGACCTTTTACACACACATGATTCATTCTGTATCCGCTTTGTTTTTCTTCTTGCTTACGTTCTTTTCTGGGGATCAACTAGGCTCTGATGTTTTAATCACTGTTTTTGTCTGATAAGTGCCTTTTTTTTATACTGCATCTCGGTGTCAGTGCAGCTTTATTTTGTTTATCCACACTGGTCACTGATCTGCTTCTTCCATTTGTATTATCAGCTGTCGTTAATGAGTCAGATGTAGAACAGACTGATGTTTAGTAAGTGCCTCTTATTTTAAATGTGCCTGTGATGAAGCACAATCACACCGCATGCTTTGCCAAAGCTTCTCCTGCCTTGAATTTCCAAATGATTATAGTTATTTCAATAAAGATGGAGTGAATTGCAGTAATTGTTTAGTCTTCTTTCCTGCGAGAATGATTACTGTGTATGCTTTGATGTGAATAACAAGTTACCAAGAATGTCGAGCCTAGGGATAAAACTCATGCTTTATCCATGACTCATCTTCTTCACATCAGCAGTGGACACCTTTTGTGCCCAGTGCTGACTGTAGTGAGTGAGAACATGAATCAATTGGATTCAACTTTAGAAAACGAGTAGGAGGAGAGAAAACCTCTTGCGTAATCACTTCATCCTCATACCAAGGCTGCTTTGTAGGTTTTTTTTTAAAAGAACGCAGTGGATGCAGAGTGATGGTAATGATGTTGAAGATTGCTTAAGCCACCAAATAATTTAAGATACAGGAATAGAGAGCAGCAGTCTGAGCCTTGTTGAGTTAAAGGGTGAGAGATAGAGAGAGACAAACTCTAAAAGCCTCGGTAGCGGTAAAAGAAAAGAGTGCTGACATCGCCAAGTAGAAAAAAAAGCATATTTATTATTCATCGGTATAAAATATTCATTCATTTCAAAAAGGCTGTGCAACACGAACATATGGTCAGTACCTTTTCAAAGTGCCTTTGACAGCATGTGCAAAATAGAATCTCAAAGATCTAGAACATTTTGTTTTCTAGACATTCAAGTAAATACAATTTGGCTTTTGCTCACATGTCATTACACTGTAACAGGCTTACATTTAAAACCAATCCCTTCCTCCCGCCATAAAGTGCCAATGGTGATTAAATCCACTTTCTATGAGTGGGGGTATACCATATTAAGCATCCCTGTGATTGTTTCAGTGGAGCTACAATTGACTGAGAATGAGGCACAAAGTACAAACAAGACAGTACGTTTAGTCTGTAGTCCAAAAATGTCTGCCAACCAGGACAGGCCAGAACATTCTGATTTGCAGAGGAGGAACTTTATCTCTCTGAGAAGTGCTGTGTGTGTGTGTGTGTGTGTGTGTGTGAGCGAGACTTCATGTTCTGGATGATGGTCAATGCAGCTATCTTGGCACACAAACAGTGATATGTCTGGCATAGATTGTGTGGTGCTTTGAGTCCCATGGTGAGGTTTGGCAGTCTACACATCGGCAGGGTAGTTTGTGTGTGTGTTTTGTGTGTATCTGTGCGGGCAGCAGGCCTGGAGCAGCACCTTGCGAATGTCTTTGTTTCTCAGACTGTAGAGGATCGGGTTCAGCAGCGAGCTGCCCGCCGCTGGCACCAAAGTGGCATAGGTGTACAGAGGAGGGCTGGACGCGTCCCCCAGCAGCCCCCAGAGGGAGAAGGGCATCCAGCAGCCCACAAACACACTGAGCACCAGGATCAGTCGAGAGAAGCCCCTCCCACTGCTGTGTTTGCTTGCATACGAGTGGTTGGCAGGGAGGAAGTGCCTCTGGGTGGCTATGGCGTGGGCGTGCCGCCTCGCCACACGGCAGATCCCAGCGTACAATTGTAGGGTTATCATAACAACCACCAGGAAGCCACCGCACAGCAGCGACAGGTAAGTCCGGGTCAGAGGTCGTGCTACAGAACAGGAGTTTGGCATACCCAGACAGTGCCATCCCATCGCAGGCCCCGCCCCGATGATGCACGCCCCCACCCAGACCAGCAGCAGCAGGATGGCGGCTCTGTTACGTGATTGGCTCGACCCATAGGTGAGGGCGTTGCTTAGAGACAGGTATCGGTCCAAAGCGACACCCATCAGGCTACAGAGAGAGGCAGTCAGGGATGTCACCAGTAGTCCTGAGGTTATCAATTCTGACCAATCACTGGGCTCCACGCAGAACAGGAAGAGGAAGTGCAAGATCAGAGCAACGCCCGCCAGGAGATCAGCCAATCCGAGGCTAGCGAGCAGCAGGAAAACGGGGGCGCGAAGAGAAGGTGTGGCCAGGATGGTGGTGACAACTATGGCATTTTCTGTGGCAATGAGAGTTCCTGAAATACACAGGGCCACGCCCCACACGGTGAGGGGTGGGACTTCATATTCAGGTGAGCTTTCAAGTTTGTCCAGTGGGAAGAAGGGGTCTGAACCTGAGGACTCATCCCAGCCCAGGTCAGACGCGTTCAGGATCATGGCTTCTCAGCAGTCACACGGACAACCTGAGAGAAAAAAAGCAGAACAATGTTTTCATTAGCTCTAATGGGTCATTAGCATATCCATCTGTCCAGTAAAATGGCTTTCCTCAACCAGAAGCTGTGGTTTTCTGCCTTTAGAGGCCGGATGTGGCATCTACAGCAGAAAAGGACTTAATGATTTAAGATGTTATATTGTTGTTATCTTGAGCTGTTAATCTACAAAATAGATTATCACTATAGTGCATTAAGATGTATTTAAGGTTGTCATGCTCCCATTACTTGTAATGTTACAATGTTGTTTAGTATTGGGTATTTTATTATAAAGGGGCAGTACAGATGTATTATTATTATTTATTAAAAATGACACACAAAAAAAACCTAGCCTTTAGCGTGCAATTGAAAAATGAACATCGAAAGAACTTGAACAAGACATTTAAAATGAAAAAGCCCCATTCTATCCTTTTAAAATGAGCCATCTCAAATTGAATTTCTTAGATAACTGACCCACCAGCACAATACAAATGTGTTTATTTAAAAATAATTGTATTTATTCTGCTACTGAAATGTAAGTGACGTCATTATAGTCGTGCGGGAAGCCACGCAAATCATAGTCAATCGTGAAGTCAAATATGTAGGCTTAATTCAACTTGATGAATAGAGTTATCAAAACATGAATGCACCATTAGGCTGCATTGATTAAACTATCATTCATGTTTTTTCTGAATCGGAGCTGTTACCGGCTTCGACCCTTGGTTTTTATCCTGCGCACGTTTCAGGTGCTTCCAGCCATCTTAAATATATATGTATTTGTGTCTGGTTAAAATTGAATCTGTAAACTCTCTTCCAGATGACGATGGTGAGCTAGATTGTGAGGGTTTCCCTTTTTGGTAATATCCAAATATGATGTTTAACTGAACTGTGTAAACCTCTGGCGGATTACATGCAGTCTTCATGAATGAGAAAGCCTGTGCTCTTCATTAGGCTATTTTAAGATTTGCAAGGTTACGATGCCTCTCTTATCAGCTTGTTCTTTAGCGTCTATCAACGTGTACTGAAAGAAAATACCACAAGCTATTTATACAATTGAAAGATTATTCTTTGCTTATGCAGGAGTTTTTTTTTTAAATGAATCAGGAATGTCTCATCCTCCCTCTCGCATCTCAGTAAGGAGGTATATCCCACGTACTGGTGCGGAGGACCCTGTTGTATAATACACTTGCAGGTCCATTGCACAGCAGAGGATGTCCCCGACACACGATCATGCATAACACATACAGGTATACATGAATTTAAGAAATTAATCTCACCTTGTTAACGCGATTCCTTGATTATTTTGTAAGAGTTTTTTAAAAAACGTGCTCTCCTCTTATCAGACCCAAGGCAGATGATGGAGATGTGGGGATGCTGTCCGCGGAGATGCTCGGTTCCAGTCTAAAAAAGGAGAAACGTCCTGCTCCGGGCTCCTGTCTTCATCAAAGTTCTGCAAAACTCAGTCTCTTGCATCTCCTTTTCTTCAATCTCTCCTGGGCGCTTACGGGAGGCAGAATGGATGCTCTTGCGCGCGGACTCTACCACAAGAGAGCCTGTCTGACGTCAGTGACTGGGAGGCTCGACCAATGAGGTGCCGGAATTGAGGATGCGGGGTGATTGGGGAGGGGGCTGTATAGGGAGTAATTTCATTCAGAAAAATGCGGCATCCCGGTTGCTCCTCCCACTGCGGTCCACTCTCAATTCTTGTAAATAATGATCAATACACCCCCCCTTCCTTCCCCTCCAGTACACACACGGATTTTCTCAATAAGACCCTGGGGAAGGGTTGATTGAGACGGTATTGTTTCATGTTGGGCAGGGCTGAGCGGTGCATGGGCATTGGGAACAGAGCTCAGGGCTTGGCGCTGTCCACGGTGCTGAAACCTTCAGGATGAGTCATGGGGAGATGTCTTGCAGAGCATCAATAAGCTGTGTGAAATGGACACTTTAGACGACACTATCCACCTCTATGAATGAATAAGCACAAACATGCACCTTTCCCACATCTAGAACCTTGCTAAACTGATTTTGACCTACTAATATTAATATCATTTAAAGCAGTGATGTTGATAGTATTGCTGCATTTGGAGTTTATTTTCAGGGATGGGCAGAAACAACAGTCTATGTTATCATTCATTCATTTTAATACAAAATTAGAAAAAACAGAAGCTTCCACATTGATCATAGAATTTAACAATCATCTCTCTGACACTATTTATTATTTATGAAAATGGTGTATGAATAATACAAAGAACAAGTATATATAATAATAATAATAATAATAATAATAGCTCTTAAATCATTTTTGAAATATTCTCTGTGCCTGAATGCATGTGTAAAGATGAG